GATCGGACGAGAACCGGTATTATTCAACGTGGTATGGTCGTTGCCTAAAAGTATATGCTCAAACGCGGGTTTTATACGTTCAGTATTTAGGCTCTGGTTAATATTCTTCAACGGGAGGTTCTACATATTGCTCTTCTTGGGTTTGTGTAAACTCTTATTCTTCTTGAGTTTCTGTATTTTTAGTCGTAATTTTTCATTTGCTTTGTATGTTTAATCTTTGACGTCAGTTGATGAAAGCTACTTTGAGTTGATCTATTACTGAATGCTCATTTTCAATCTCAAAATCAATTAATTTTGGTGATTTGAAGACGTTCTATCTGTTTAAAATGTACCCTCCCATAAAAAGTTATCACTTCAAAAATGCGGTGTGCAGTCATTTCATTTGTATTAAAATTTACATATCATCCGCGGCACCACAAACCACATATTCCGTCATAAATAATAGGAAAGTAACATTGGGTCATTGTTTGAACTTCCGTCTCATGAATCGTAATGTACTATTTCTGGAAGGATACATTTTCAGCTAACGCTATACTTTATTGCACAACTGGCAACTGTGGTAGTTTGCAAAATAAATACATTTTCGTTACTTTTAATTTTCAAGTCTAAAATCTACTGCAAAGCATCTTGTAATTATAAGGAGGATTTATAAAAAAATAATTAAAAGTGACAAAGACTAAATAAGCTTTATTTAATCACATTTAGCAGACAGGAAAAAAGCACGCCAGGCAGTGATTTCCACTGACGTCACGCAAATCGACGCAAGATCCTACCTTGTATTCATTGTATCATGCCTTCCTTTCCTGTTTGATAATCTGTGGTCTCTGAGTCTGTTGTTTTGGAAAACAAGTCGGTTGCTCGGTTCTATTAGTTACAGAAATATATTCAACCTATTATTTATCATGCAGCAATGCAAAGTATTTGATTGCTTAACGAATACCCGAGAACGTCGCCGGCGGGCTATTGATTCCATATCATTTTATAAGCTTCCGAGAGATTCGTATTTTCGGCGAATTTGGTTAGAAAATTGTGGAAGAGATGGTGAAACAAACACCGACAACTTTTACGTCTGCGATCTTCACTTTTGCGAGGACGATTTCGACGTGAACTATTGTAAGTACCTTAATAATTACCAGTAGATTTATAGTAGTAAATCGTATCTATGTACCTCGATGTCTTTAAATAAAATTCAAATCCAACTACGTACTATCTATATACAATTTTGAACTTGGTTTTATTATTTTGTCGAAAACTTTTACATTGAAATCTTGCTTAAACCAGTAGTAATAGAAGTTCAATAATAGTTTTGAGAACTCTATAATGTGAGATTTGTTTTGGTACCTATGTAATTTTGAAATTAGGTTGCTGCCACTGTGATTGACACACGCGATGTCAGTCAAACTTGTTATGTGACGCGTCCACCCTGTTGATTGTTGAAAATGGTTTACAATGACATATCAGTTTGTTTATTCCATAGATATTTGATTTAGAAAAAAAATGAGAAAGTGTTGCGTAATTGGTTGTAGAACTGGTTACGATAATAGTACCGAAAAATACAGTGCCTTCAAGTTTCCTAGAGACGAAAACCTGAAGAAGAAGTGGTTACTAGCGATTGGGAGACAAAATTTTACACCTTCAAACTATGCAGGTGTAAGTCCAAAAGATTTTGTTATTTTGGTTTCTTACATTTTGCTTTTGTTCGACAGAGTCAATGTATCTTTCTCTCCTAACATAATCATCAATCAACTACCTACATATTTACCTAAAGGCTAGCGAACATAATGATTTTTAGGTGTGTGAGAAACATTTTCTTGAGAATGATATAGTTCGCTATCAGATCAGTGTAGACCCTGAAACTGGTGCGGATGTTCTATTTCCAACAAGGGCTCAATTAAAGGAAGGAGTGGTACCAACGTTAAAGTTGCATACAAATGTCGAAGTAAAATTAGAAACTGAGCACGGTTCATTTGTGAGTAAAATATTGTAGGTATAAAAAATATGAAAAACCTGTTAGGTATAAATTCGAAATTCAAATTCCAACTGCGCTAGAACATTGTTGCTTGTTGGCACGTATATAACATGTTTGAATTTGGCGGAGTGTTTATTTCAGTGGTCCTGGTATTCATTTACATTTATTGAATTGACTAGTTAAAATTGCTGGTCAATATTATACATTTGGTATCAGATTACTGGTTTAAACAACGAGCATAGTTTTCCGTTCCCGAATAAATTTGCGTCAGTGATTAAAAATGAACCACGCTTTATATGCATTTCAGATGATCAAAGAAAACTCAAAGTTTGTGCTGTACCGACAAAGAATTTAACAAACAACAGCGACCACTTGTACATGTCGTCCTTAGAGGCAATTGATGGGTCGATTACGCATATTGGACCAAATGACGAAAATCGCCCAGAAAGTTCAATGTCGGAAAACTCGTACATTCACAAAGACCTAGCGAAACAGTACAGGCTCTTACAGTTGGAATTTGAAATTCTGCAAGATCAAGTCAAAGAGCGCGAGTCAACTCTAGTGGCATTAAAAAAAGAAAATGCTTTGCTTAACGAGTTGTTAGGGACAATTCCGACAGGTTTATAGATTTGCATCAGTGCTCTATATAATATAGTATTTTTTTATAGACAACTACTAGTATTTCAAAGAATTACTCGAAAAAATGTTCCAATGATGTTTCGTCCTCCGATGAAGATATGCCCTTGGAAAGTCTCAGAAATCGATATATAACTTCGAAATCAGATCTGGGATCACATACGGATTCAGACAATGCAACTGATAGCCAATTGCACCGAAAATTTAGTAATATGTTAACTCAATATGAAAAATTAAAAGACAGGCATGTAGCTTTAGGACAGGCAATTGATGTTTTGGAAAGGATTAATATTGAACTGAAATGTAAGGTATTCAAATATTGAGTGGCTGTTTCAAAATGAAATTTTCGACTCGAAAAGTGTTTTATTATGCCTAGCGTTTCTTCAATATTGTACAAATATGTGGCTTAAGGTTTTTAACTTCTCCAGATAAATCAGACGGCTATGAAAAGACCCATCTCCTACACTATACATATGTATTTTTAGTCACTTTATATACTGCCGGTTTTACACATAGGGTCTGTAACATATACAATACTACAGCTACAGCTTATTTTTCTATTTAGTGATAATTTCTGAGATTCTCGTCATTTTACTTTTCATGACAAAATAAATCGTCGCTCTGTTCTTTATTAAAGCTAAATTTAAAAAATTGCTCATTGGTTTGACAGTATTATAAAAATAAAGTGAAATACATTCTGATTAAACCCGACACCAGCTTTCAACGCTTATTTCGTGCTTTTGATCCATTTACAGACAGTGGCAGCCACATCCACACTGTGATTAAAAACAAAAGTATGACATATATTAGTCAATTCTGCATCGACATTGGGCAAATCTTGTTTTATTTTGCCGTAGAACTCTTCGGGCGCCCACCCATCTGTTTTACCATAATACAATTTGACTTTGTCAATGTTGTCATGCAGAATTTTATCGTTTCTCTCCAACACTTGGTCCATCTCTTCAAATGCTAAGAAAAAAACTCTCCTTAAAACCCCGGGCTTTAATAGTTCTTTAATATTGCCCATTTGACTCTGGCAAGGCACGTTGCTGATTATCATATAAATGTACAACAGAAAGTTAGCAAGGAAATTGGGCAGAACAGTGAAGATCCATGAGCAAAAAAGTAACAACCAAACCAGAGGCCGAACAAAAGTATTCAAAAACTTGCCATTTTTTGTTACAGCCATTCGTTCTATTGTAGGAAACAGCAAATAAGTTTTTATAATCTTACTATTTATACCCGGGTAGTTTAAAACCTCAAGGGCCATATAGCTTCCTATTGAGTGTCCTATCAGATAGACTTTGGCATCGTGTGGCAAATATTTTTCGAGGAAATCTACCTGGTTGAAGATTTGACAACTATTAATATACATTTGCTACGGTTTATAGGCTTGACATACCTTGTGTTTAACTTGTCCTTTCAACCCATAGAGATTCCGATGCTCTGTAAAGTTAGGCAATTTTGTTATGGAATTTTCTGCTAAGTTGTGGCCCGCATGGCTGAGACACCAAACTGGAATATCCGTTTTTTCATAGAGCGAATTGGCAAATTGCTTGTAGAATCCCACAACGCCTGGGTTTCCTAAGCAAACAACATACTAATATATAGTTTAGTTTCATTTGTAAAAATTTGGAACCATCGTTATGGTTTCATGGCTCTGAAGTTTTAATTAGTATGTGTATCTATTTGCCAATTATATATCACCTTTATTTATTATAAATAAACGTTATGCTAGAACAATACATATAACTATTATACCTGGTATTAAGATGATGAGTTCCTTGATGGTCGCAGGAGATTCTTCAATCCATCTGCCCCAAGTAGCAATTTTCGTGCGAACCCCATTTACTTCCACAAATGCTTCATTCATGCTAACTATAAGTATTCTGCGGAACAAAAGCTGAGTTATTTTCTAATTAATTTTTAAATTGTGTCTTATAGAAAACTTAAATTTATTTGTTTTCTTTGTAAACCTACAACATAGAAAAAGGCTTACAAGACCTACAATACGTCCACCCATAGATAAAGACGAGTATAGATTACCAACTCTCTCGCACAATGTGGAAACAATGTCTATCCTACCGCCATCTATTATGAACCTAGACACAACTGCGCCACGTCCTTTTTGCGGGGTTTGCGTCTCTGCTACTACTGTTCAGGGTTTGCATCCTTGCTATTGTCGGCCTACCCATTACTTAAATCGGAATTAAGATATGTTCAATATTCAGTTTGATATATTTGTACAGAGGCAAGACTTGTTTCTGATTTATAAACAAATATGTCAAATTGAAAATAAACATGCTCCTAATCTCAATTAAAGTACTGGGTAGTGATTGGTGTTTGGATATGTTGATAATAAAAACTTCATAAGCATTTTCAATTTTTTATTGCAGTAAATAAATAGGCGAAACGCCAAGTACCATTAATTT